TAAAAAGTTTGGGTTTTTTAAATTGAATTTTGCACGAAAATATTGCTATTTTTGTTTAACAGAAAATTATTTAAAAAAATTTTTCTAGCAAAAAGGTTTTTTGAGAATTTCGGAAAAGCTAAGGATATTTTTAGGAGAGACTAATACTCAAATAATACTTTCCTCACTCTATTTTCCATTATTTACGGTTGGATACTAAAGTTTAATCTGACCTTAGAAGAGAATAAATTTCTCTACATGAAAATATTCTGTACATACATATGTATGTATATTACGAATATACCATACACATGTACAAAAGGTGAAAGAAATCGAATATCGCTTGGCAATAATAGCTAATTTTCAGCGGAAGTTCTTTATTTTTTGTTGCGCTAGTCTTTTGTTTTTTGTTTATAAGCTAAAAAGCACGTGTGCTGGAGTAAATTTTTTGAAGGTGATGAAGCACTTGTTGTTAGTCATAATGCTTGGCAAAGATATTTCTATATTTTAGGAATTTATATGGAATATTATTTTTGGCAACATATTTGAGTTTCTTGGCAACATTAATTGCGGGTTATAAAAAAAAAAAGAAAAAATAACAATTATACAAGCATATTTTAACCTCCTAACGATCACGTAGATATATGCACAAAAATGTTTACTCGGTCAAAATGGTGCAGTTGATGGGAAAAGAGAGCGAAATCGGCTATAGAAAGTAAAACAGAATTGAAATTTTTTTTTAATAATTTTTTTTTAACTTTTTAGAAATATTTAGTAAATGATAAATGTGCAATTTTATGTAGAGTAAAATATTCATCAATTTGAAAGTGTGAAAATGAAATTTACATATTAGAGGTGAAAATAAAGAGCAAAATATCGCAAATATTTGCTAGCGGAAAATTCATTGCAGTTTTGACTTTTTCAATTTTACTTTTGTTTACAAAACCGTTGCAAATGTGTTTGTATATACATATATAATTGTATATGTGTAAATGTATACACTGAACGTATATACGTATGTGTTAACGAACTGTGTTTGGGTTTACAAAGTAGCAACAAATATATTTAGATAACAGCAGACAGCAAACAGCTGCCTAGTGGCACAACTATGCGGACAAACAAACGCCACCACAATAGAGCGAAATCGAAAAAATATAAATTAAAAATAAACAAATAAACAATTGAAGTAAATCAAAGAAAACAGCTTGAATAACTACATGCATAAGTGGGAAATTGTTGGGTAAATCTCCAAATACCTGACAGGTGCCAAAGTTTGCAGCAGCTGTTGGAGAATATACTGCGATTTCTAAGAATCTATACGCTGTATATAAATAATCTATATTAATATATTCTATGCATTAATTTAAAAATAAAAAATATATATAAATAATGCGGAATATATGGAAAATTTTGCAATTCGTTAGTTTATACCAGTTGTTTTATCAGCCTTTATTATAGTCTATAAATAAAAAATTACAAAAGTGTAATCTTGCCCTTCGGTAGCTTATACCAGTTTTATACTAATTTGTATACCAGATTTTATAAAAATTTTTCATAATGAAAGCATTTTGTACTGACGAAACCATAAGTTACATTTATATATTAATCAGAAAAAATTATTATTAATCAGAAAAATATTTCAATTGGTGTAAAAAGCTATAAGTCAAATTTCTAGGTGAAACCATGATAGAGGTAAATATTTCTATGTTTGCTTATGTTGCACACCGTGATATTTATTGATAAACAAATATATCACCTCAATTTATATGATATTATTATTATTATACCAGATTTTATACCATTATTAAATTTTCAATTTGTGTTCGTTATATAACTTATTATTTGATGGTTCCGGAATTTATTTTGTTTAAATCGAAAACTACTGTTCTTAGGAAACAACAACGAAATTTTATACCAGTTATGCGTGATGTGCATACAATTGTAAATTTATTTTAAATATTTTCATTGACAATATTTATTACTCGTATATTTGGCATTTATATTATGTTTGTTTTAATTTGGAATTATTTATATGTAAAAACTATTTTCTTAACATTGACTATGTTTCGCACATAAAGCTAAAATTATTGTTTATGTCAGTTTTTTTTATAAAAAATTTTTCTGTAAACTCATTAGATGCGCTTAGTTGTAAGCAAACTTTCAGAAATTATATCCGACCTTCTCTGGTCTTCTTTGTATGTGATTATTTAGCAAAATTACTATTAGCATTATTGATATTTATGTCAAAGTACCATGCTGCTGACAATTTTAATTTTCTAACGCAGTGAATTATGCCAGATTTTTCACATTGTACGTATATACGTTTCAATAATACATTTCGAAGCTGCACAGAGAACTACAGTATATTCAGAATAATGCAATATGATTTCTATTTCAAATTAGGTTTTTTACCAATATTTTTCTTAATTTTGAAGCAAATTTAAAATTACTTTGTTAAAAAAAAAACATGTTTTGACTTTTAGTTCTACAGGAGTAAAATTATGGTTCTTGTGTGTCAGCCAGTAATTTGGTAAAATATTATGCCAGTTCTTTTGGAAGAAGAAATTCTCTTCGTAAACTCATAAATAGTGCTTATACAATCATAGTTGTTGTTTTTATACAATCATATTAACTGTTTTTATTTATATCAGTTTTTTTGAAAAAATATTATACCAGTTAGATTACACTATAAAACGACGTACGTTTCGCAATGCCAAAAAAGTCTGAATTACCAAATATTTATGAGACCCAATCGAAATAAAATCATTTTATACCACATTCAAATCTTTGACTACTAATTTGTAATTGTCAGCTCACGTAAGAGTGATTGCTCATCTTATTACAATTATTCTCAACTATTTTAAATATCCTCATCACTTTTGTAAACTCAAAAATAACCGAAATATAAGCGGTTTTGTCCTCATTTGAGAAGCCTTAAAAAACCAGTTTTTAAAATTCGATATTTCTCTGTTTAACTGTCAACGCTCACAACAAAAACGAAGTCTGTGCATAAAAATTAAGACAGAATTAACTTTGTTGGTGAATATCCTTGTGCCATCCTTGCACTATCCTACTTGCCGAAATTAGCCTCAGGCATCTGCACTGATTCATTTCACTGATACTGTTTGTCGAACTTTCAGACACACCAAAATAAGTAAAACAAAACGAAAGCAAAATAAGAAAACCAGCAAAAAATCAAGCGAATTGCTTGCAGGCAACTCCAGTCAGCAGCATTAACAACTTTTCTTCAGAGTTTTTTTGTTGTTTTTTTTGCCTTTCTTTCTTTTTCCAATTCATTTCTTGTTTATAGCATTTATTTATTTTCCGCTCCGCTGCCACATTGTAGTCGTGCGCTTATCCGCTAAACAATCAACCAAAGGAACAAGTGGATAGGGCGCAAACAGTAAATATCGACAAGAAAATATCTACACTTTAATTTCATCAAATCGTTTGTGCGCGATTGAGTTGTTTCCATTTGGCTGCCGGCAAAATGGCGCAAACGACAATGCGAGCGCTGACAGCGAACGGCACAACCAATAATCTGCAGAACAAGCGGCTGCAACAAGAACAACAACCACAACAAGTGAAACGAGTGAGTTGTCAGCGCTGTGGATTGACATGTGAAAACATGTGTGCGCGTGTGTGTGTGTCAATAGCAATTGCTATAAAAATTCATACATGCAGCTGTTGCAAGCAGCCATCCATGTTTGTGAGTGCATGTGTTTGTATTGTTTGTATTGAATTTGTACGCCAATATACGACAACAAACCGAAAAAATTCAGCAAAAGTCTGAAAAAAAATCCGTTATTGGTTTTGTAAATAAAAATAAAGTAAAAATTCATTGCATATTGAAATGTTGCCAAGATTTAGACAACGCTTTTGTGGCTGTTGCAGCGTGGCTGCGACGACCTCCACTTTTCAATCAACTTTCAACAAAAATATTCAATAAAAATAGTAAGCAAAAGTAATTAAAAGAAAGTGATAGCAAAAATATTACGCGCATTAAAAATCTTAGAATGAAACTGAAACAATTTGCATACATTTTAAAATATTTACAAAAAAAAAAAAATTGTATTGAAAAAGAAATCAAATACTCGAATAAAATAGTAAAACAAAATTCCAAGAAAATTTCAATTTTGAAATAAAAAAATTGGAAAAATTTTACAGAAAATATTTCAATTTATAAACATAGAACTTCTAAAAATCAATAAATTTAAAAATGTTGAAGGCATAAACAAATAAAATTAGAATAAGAGAACAAATTTTAATTAAGAAATACATATCCGAAGAAACAAATAAAACTAAAATTAAAAATATTTTAATTTTGAAATAAGCTTTTAAAAAATAAATTAAAATTAAACTTTTTCAAGCTTGCTTGAAGCAAATTAGGAGTGTCTTTTAAAAAAAGAATATTTAAATATTAATTTTTTTAAACTATTTATATAGTCTTGTCATTAGCTGTCTCTTATACACATCTTATATAACCAGAAAAGTTTATAAAATTTCAACAAAAAATAAAAATTAAAATATAAACATGAAACAAAT